TCTGGCTTGCACTCAGGCCTTGAACCTTCTGCCCAGAGCCCAAATGACCCCTATGTGTCTGGGCTCAGCAGCAAACCCAGCCCAGCTGGCGGCCTACGAGTGGCTGTAGAACCTGCGGACCAACGGTGGGCATTCCGCGGCGCTCTGGGTGCCTCCTCTCTGAGCCAGGGGTGCATGAGGCCGGGCCACCTGTGCGGTGTCCACAGTGGCTGGTGGGCATGCCACCCTGCTCACCAGGGTCCTGAGCGTGGGGTCCACCACAACTCCATCCTCGGCAGCATGGACCATCTCTCTGGGGGTGTCTTGGTCCTCAGGGACACCTTGACAGGTGAGGCAGAGGGGCGGGTCCAGGCAGGTCTTGGCTCTGAGCGAGACGGCCACAGCAGGCCCACAAGAGAATCCAGCTGGTCTTGGGGCCCCAGTGCCTGGGGGGCCCCCCTTGGCTCCTCTTGGTGATGATGGGATGACTCTCAGTGGCTCCGTCCTCTGGGGCTGAGGCACGCCGAGCAAAAACGCGAGATCGGGTAGGAAAGATCCTTTTATTGGGGTGGACACGGAGCACGCACTAGTCCATGATAAAATGACTTAAGAGAAAGATCCAGAAGGGCTGACTTCTCCCCCTTACGCATGCTCAGAGCAAGGTCTGGGCACAGAATAGGTCCCGGTGGAGCTCGAGACAAGGCAAAGTCTTTAAGGCCCAGACCGGCAGGTGGGAGCCGGGAGTAAGGCCTGCTTCCACCCCCGCCACCAGGCCACAGCAGGGCCCCGGCTCTAGACCCTCGCAGACTCACTCCAGTTTTCCAGAGGAGAACTGGGGAGCAAGAGGAGGGGGACTGGAGGTGGAGAGGTGAGTAACAGGTTGTTTTTTTAAAAAGCATCTACCAACATCACACTACTACTGGGTCTGACGTCCCCTTTAACCATCGCTTGGTACATTTTACAGCATAAATAAAAACTCAGGGAAAATAAATACATCGGCTCCTATGAGGTTGGAAGTGGTGTGGACTGTGGGGCATGGGTGGGCCGGCGGCAGGAGTGGGTGGGGGCGCTTACACAAGGCGGGCGG